CTCAAGGTACTAATGAATATACTGAGCATATCACTTAGGCAACATATGCCAATAATATTAAACCACATACCCCGACAGTCACACAGCTGTCTATGGCAGCGAATGCATAAGGTATAAATGAGTCTAAACTTATTAGTCAGCTCACATGGTTCTATATGGCAACACATCCATATAATATAAATGCGACTTAAGTTATTAAGCAGTCCACTTACTACCTGAATTGCACAAAGCATAACAATAATGATTCATATGTCATTAATAACATAAATAATCCTGTAATGTATAACGGACAATTTATAGGAATCACATCATGTAATCATTTCATTTAACATTAAATAATAACACAATTTATATTCAAATATGTCATTACATTAATTACATCTGTTTCATAGCGATCGATACTGTAAATGATACAATTAATGTTTAGAAATATTAATCGGACCTAATAGTAATTAACGGGTAAAAAATAATAATTTAAAGTCCCGTTAATCCCAAAAATATCAACCCGAGGCCCAAAAATGCAAGTTGAAGGTTCTGGAAATTATAAATCAGTCCCTAGGGGTATTCTAGACTTTTCTAGCTGCTGCAGAGACCCTACACGCGCCCTCACGTGCCTCCTAGAGCTTCCTACACGCGCTGCCACCTTCCTCACACGCGTACGCGCTTACACGCGCCGCCATGCGCGTCTGGCATCAGCCACTCGCGCACACGCGCTGCCACGTGCGCACTAATGGTTCCTGCTGATGTGACGCGTGCTGGTTGGTTGGTTGTATCGTGTCTCTGTGGGCGCGCTACACTGGATTGATCTAATGATCATCCTTTAATCCAATGGTTACTGATCCGGATGTATTGCAGTAACATAGAATGCGATGCACCGGATCAATTTGATTCTTCCGTGACCAGGATGCGCGCGCACACTAACCTACAATACGCCGCATCACACCGGATCACTCCGGTCATCTTCCTCACTGCTGGCGGCGGGAAATCTCGTTAGAGTTTCACCGGAAATTACAGAAAAATCCCGAAAAATTCTATAAAATTCTAAAAAAAATCCCTAAATCCTTTAATAATTATTTTTAGCTATAATTAATTACATAGGCTAATAAAATAATATCTAACCCCTTAAATAATTAATATTTCCGTAATTTAATAAACCAAAATTAATAATTTATTAAAATCCTAGCATATTCTTTATGCTCCAAAATAATCTAAATACATTAAATAATTAATTTATGGATTCAAATGGGAAAAGTAGATAACAACTTGCCTTAAGGATTTGAAACAAATCCGCCGGTTGTGCGTAGCCGGGTAAAATCACCTACGCCGGTCCAAGCTCCTCTCTCTCTCTTTTCCTTTCACTCTTCTAGAATAGCTCACTGTTATTTTTACTCTTCTACTTACGTGAGGTTTTTCCTTCAAATGGTAAGTTAGCTAACTATTATATATACACTAACTTATATAATATATATCATACAAATATCTAACTTATATTAACTATCCAAACATTCCTACCTACATTACTTTAAGGCCATGTAAGCTAAGTCCAACAATTGCCATAAAATTCTACCCTAGTAAATGAAATCCAATCCTAATATCAACTTTACATCATGACATTGCTTTAGTATTATTATTATTATTATTATTATTATACTATAATACAAATGTAATACTTTAATTAACTAATATTAATTAATATAAAACATAACCAATAAAATTTCTAAACTAACTTTATATAATATATAGAACATAAAATCAATATTACGTGCACAAATAAATAAAATTAATTTAATAATTTAACATACACAATTTATAGGTGAATAAATCTACTCATTAAATATACAGAATTAATTTAAATAAACTCTTTAAACATACGGGGTATTACACATAAAATGAACCCAAACCCATCGTCTATGGTTTTTGAACCCAGATGCTCTGATACCACCTATGACGACCCTAGTTTTTCAAACTTGGTGCATCAGTGATGACTCGAAAGATGACCCAATATTGGATCCTAAATGCTGAACGAAAGACAAAACTATGGTTTCTAGAGATGTATGTCATCCCTAAGACGCCAACGTAACTTCCTACGAAGCTACGGAACTCAAAAGGAAAAAAAAAAAAAAAAACATTTTAAGCTAAAATTCTTAAATAAAATAATATTACAAGATACAAATAAAGCTCTGGATGATGAATAGAAAGAATAATTATAAATGTACATAGATATTTGTTTTCCACCAAAAGAAAAAGAAGATTAGAAATAAGCAATAACAATCGATTCTGCAATCAACAAATCATCTATCAAACCATGTGAACCAGATTTTATGTAATTTGGTGTACTTTAAATAAAAATAATTGATAGGTATATATAAGGATTACACATTAAACCATTAAAGATAAAAGTCAAAACTTCCACTATAAACAGATCAGGGTTTCAGCGAAATAGTTTGAGAGAGAGAAAGAGGGAGAGTTAAATTAAGATTTGATTTACATTCATTTGGGTTGACCCGGTAAGCATTTAAGTTTTTAAATTTTTATTATTTTCTATTTTAGGGACACTTGTCACATTACTTTTGCAATACATCAGGGGTAAGCATATACTTCCTACTCATCGGTGAGTAGGCAAGTATTGTTCATATTATAATGGACAATGCTTGAGTAGTCCGTCTAAGAGGATGAAATTCATCCTCCATCTGATGTGGTCCAACGTCATTGGAACATGTGTCTAAAAAAATAAAAAAAATTAAAAATTAAAGATGGACATTACCCATTTTTTACGAGTTAAACCGTTTTTTTTTTTTTTTTTTTTTTTTTTTTTTTTTCCCTTCTACAACACGATCATCTGTCTTCATCTCTCTCTTCACAGCAAAACAAATCTCTCTCCATCTCCATATCCAACCTCTATCTGAAACCCTAGTTTCCACCTTGCACTGCATGCCGCCGCCACCACCTTCCTCCACTGCTTGTGGTTGCCTCCATTTTAAAACCCTACGAGTCTCTAAAACCCTAAGTATATAGTCTTCAATAAGTGTAAAATCTTTATAATTTCACACGGAATAGTATAATAGAAAACTATGTATATACTTTTAAAAACCTAAAAGTTTTAGTCAAGCCCTATGAATTGTTTATTTATTGCTTGGTTAACAGGTCTTTCTAAATTTTTTTATCTCTATTTTCATCACTTTCAATTCGACTGCTTATGGAATTTTATCAATTCATAGGGTAGTATGCCTAGCAATCCAATATTACATATAGAGTTCATGCAAAATATGATAATGGCAAAAAAAAAAAAAAAAAAGGATAATTATTTCTTCTATGATTTCTATAGAATTTTGATATTTTTTTCTCTTTACTAAAAAGTGAATGATTATTTTGTTTTGGAGTCAAAAATAATTATTTATTTATGGAGCAAGTTTGGACAATGAATGATTATTTATTTACTATTTTCTACAAAATTATGAGTTTTTATTTTTATCTATGTTCAGAGCCGACCCTCACCCAAGACGACTAAAGCGGTCGCTTAGGGCCTCAAAAATTAAGGGGTCTCAAAATTTATAGGCCCATAAATGATGGGCCACAAAAAATATATATATATATTGTAATCAAATGCAGCAAATAATTTAACGGACAAAATTTATAGGCCATGAATGATGCCCCACCAAATAAATAAAAAAAATTTGTAACCAAAAGTTCGCATAGGGCCGGCCCTGTATATGTTTAGTTAATTGAGATTTGCATTGCGGTAAGACCAAAAGAAGAAAAAGAAGAAGGGAGAGAATTGCTTTGCTGTGGATAGAACGGACAAAATTTATAGGCCATGAATGATGCGCCACCAAATAAATAAAAAAAATTTGTAACCAAAAGTTCGCATAGGGCCGGCCCTGTATATGTTTAGTTAATTGAGATTTGCATTGCGGTAAGACCAAAAGAAGAAAAAGAAGAAGAGAGAGAATTGCTTTGCTGTGGATAGAGAAAGGAAGATAGAGGAGAGTTTGGTCCGCCGGTATCTTATCGTGTTTAAGAAGGAAAGAAAACAAAGAAAAAGAAAAGGAAAGACAAACGGTTTAATCTGTAAGGGTAACGCCCATCTTTAATTTATTTTTTATTTTTTTAAACGTGTATCAATGACATTGGATCACATTAAATAGAGAATGAACAATGACAATGGAGCACGACAGAACTTCATCCTCCAAAATGGAGGATGCAAACATTGTCCTATTATAATCACTTTAATTAAGTAACTTTTTTTCACCGAATATCTTTTAACTTTCCAAAATTTTAAACTTCAAATTTTTCATAAAGTTAATTTGGCAAGTGGGGTAGGTGTAGTAGACTAATAATTGGTTTTCTTGGAAGCCAAGATTTTATTTTTCATTTTTGAAAGAGCTAATGCTGCTGCGTGTGCATAGTGTGTGGTTGATAATTTCAGACCTAATTAAATGTTCATTCTCTTTGACTCAGACTTCTCTTGCTAACTCCCCCTATCTACAGATTTGTGATTGCTCTCGTCTTTCATCCCCAACTAAATAGATGTCATTGTTTATGCTCTACTTCTCATCATTTTTCTAGATTTCGAAAACCCTAATTTGTTGAACATTTCTTATTTACCCTCTTCCCAAAGACTACCAGGGTAGTATCTACTTTTTACTCTGATCGATCGATTCTGTCCCTGGGTAATTAATTTCATTCCATTTGAGCCATGGCTTTTAAGTTGAATTCGGTTGTTTGTGTTTGGAGGACTGTTTCTTTGGGTCATCTCAATCTCAACAGGGGAAGGCAACTAGGGTATCTTCTTCTTGACAACGGTGGTGGTGGTGGTTGTGGTGGGGGTGTCAAACAACCAATATCCTCCTCCTCCACCTCCTATAGCCCTTCAAGTTGGCCTCTTTGTTCGCGGGGAATAGCAGTCAACTCTTGTTCTTCTTGTAATTCTTGTTTCACTACATCTGCTTCAGAGTTAAGAGGATGGGATAAAACCGCGTAATCATCCACTGTTGTGGTCGATGGCGCCGTGTCTGTTGATACCTTCTCCCAAAGAGGATGATGATCATAAGGATGAGGTGATTGCAGCCATTGCCAAGGAGGTATGTAAAGGTACTGGAGAGGAGGAGGAATTTCATTTTCCAGAGTATTGCTTCTACAGCCTCGCCGAAAGAAAAGTGGTGAGCCTCAACAATGTGAGGAGCAAGAGTAACATTGTCATACCCGATCATGCAATTTGCGTCGGGTCCTCCCACGGATGGCTGGCCTACTTGGATCCTCATGAATGTGCTCTCTTTTTAACCAATCCTCTGGTCTCCCCTGTTCCGCCCACAATCCGCCTTCCTAGGCTTCCTCGGTTCCTTATCCCAGAGTCATGCTCTGATTTTAAAAAGCTTGTCATGTCATGTTCTCCATCTTCTGACAACAACGACTGCACCGTAATGGTGACTATATCATGCAATTGTCATAATCTTGTCTTCTGTAAAGTAGGCGATTCTTCTTGGACTGAGCTAGAAGCCGATCATGAGGTGATTGTGTATTCGAACAAGGATCAGCTGTTCTATTCCAGGAACTACTACGACGGATCAAAATTTGCAGCTTGGGATCTTCGCAATTCTTGTTCCCCACATAGAATTGATATCGACTCGGCCTTCGCTTATGGGATGCCCGACTACCCGGAGTCAGAAAAGAAACAAAGAGAGAGATACCTTTATGGGAATTGGCAACACTACCTGGTGGTGGAGTCACATTCTGGGGATGTTTTGCTTGTTTCCAAGTACTGCGATTTTCGATCCCCTTTGAGGACGATTCGGATCGATGTTTATAGGCTCAATGCACCCAAAAGAGGTTGGGACTATGTGACAGACCTTGGTGATGGAGTTGTGTTCGTGGGATTGAACCAAGCCTTCCATTTATCAGCTCTTGATTTCGCTCCTGGGGTATTGATCCCCAATTCTATCTATTTCACTCCTGAGAATGACAAATTAGACTATGAGATGGGTATTTACAACATGAGAGATTTCACAGTCACATCCTTTTTCCCGTCTCATCTCCATCCGTTCAACAAGATTCATCAGCCACCCCCCATTTGGCTCACCCCTAACCCATGGAACAATTAATTTAGTAGTAGTAACAAACTACTATACTATGATCAATTTAAAGCTACCGTAACAATATTTGGAGGATTAACTAGTTGTTGCATATATATTGCGCACTTGATTCTCATCTCTCTCTTGTCCTCTCATATCCAAGAGAGATTTTATATACTATCAACATCTTCTTCTTCAAATTTCTTTTTTATTTATTTTTTGTTTGATTTGTGTGAATATGAAAGAATTGTTTAGAAAATTTTAAATAATTAGCCTTTTAACACTGAAAAAAATCATCACCAATTACTCTCTCAGGCCCGGTAAGATGCCAACATATTCTTGTGATCGCAAAGTCAGCAAATGAAGAAAAAAAAATTACTCAACTACATTTGTTTTACCATATGTACAAATACCACTTTATACATTATATAAGTATATTATTATACCATTCAACATTACCTTTTGAATAAATTTAAAATACCTTTTTTACCCTTTTTTTTTTTTTTTTTTTTTTTTGCATTAGGAAAGAAATCGTTCTAATTCTGGTTAATCTTCTTTCTTATTTTGTTCTTCCCTTTAACTGGTGTATCATTTGTTCTTCTTAGGCTCCAAATATTATCAATAGTTGAAGGATTGTTCGTATTAAAGAGAAAAATTCACAAAAAATTTACAAATTTACCTTTTGATAGATATAAGAATTCTTGTGGTTCTTTTTCTGTTATACATCTAGTAGTAGTAGTAGTATTTTTTTTATTTTATATTTTATTTTTTTTTAGGGATGTTGAGATTTCAATCAATTCAGCCTGTGAAGTGAAAGTCAAATTTATTATGTATATATTAAAAGTTTGTTAAATATAAATTTAACTCGACTGCCAGTCAGCTTTTTTTATCCCTAGCTGGAGAGGTTTTTTTTCCACATTGAACACATTGATGAGAATGGATTTCAATCGCGATCTATTGCCAAACAGGTAAAACTAATATTGTGTAAGACTAATATTTGATTCTGATTCTTTTATTGGCTCATTCTTAATTCTCTTAATTTTGTTTGTTTAATGGGTAAGACTATAGTCTATAATATTTGATTCTGATTCTTTTATGGAGTGACTCATGAGGTTTGTTTTTGTGGTTTTATTTAATTGAGTGTTACGCAAAAAAATTAAACGTCCATGTAGTTTAGTTATATATACATATATCAATGTCGTCTTGTTTCGTTTGCCTTCCTATTTCTAAAACATATTGATTTTGGTTAATAAAAAAATATCCAAATGTATCACCCTTGATATGTATTGAAGGATACATTTGGATTTGTGCATTTTTCTTAGACTAGTTTAATATTTTTCTGTTTTGGATAATATTTTTCTGTTTTGGATCACCCTTGATATGTATTGAAGGATACATTTGGATTTGTGCATTTTTCTTAGACTAGTTTAATATTTTTCTGTTTTGGATCACCCTTGATGTGTATTGAAGGATACATTTGGATTTGTGCATTTTTCTTAGACTAGTGTCAAACAAAGAATGTTAGTAATATCATCATACTCTCAATGACTTTCATTGAATAGTACGTCGTGACCTTGAAAGACAAATTTAATCCACATATAGCATGTACTCACGTAAACTTCCCTGCTGGTGTTGAATTGTCTCACTTCCCGGCCTCAGCCGCCTGATACTCACACACTCCTTGTAGAGCATCCTATTGACCTTTTAGTACTTCAGAATGTTTTTCACTCCCTCCGAATATTTACGATCTCTCTCCAACATTGTATAATCTTTTAACACACTCTCTCTCTCTAATACTCCACAATTTTCACATAAATGTGGAAGACTCTTGAACTCCACTCTAATTACTTGGTGAACGTTGCTTGGCTTTAGGACTAGTATTCCATATGAATGGAGCCTATTTTTCCGATAATGATCGATGAATCAAAAGTTTTTGACTTCTCTTCAGTTTATTCGGTAACAACATCCCATGTGCACATTAGTATACTACGAGAATTTTAGTTATTAAGAACAAAAAAAAATTTAGTTATTAAGGACAAAAAAAACCGTATCTAAAAGTACTAAAAATCATCCCTATTACCTTTTAGGGATGGTTAATGTCACCGTTAGTTGCGTCCCAAAAGGATTTTAGGGACCGAACAATTGAGATAGAAAAACATCCATCCCAAATACTTATTAGGAACAGAAAAATAATCGTCCCAAATACTTAATTAGGACAGAAAAACATCCGTCTCAAATAGTCCCAATTAAGTAAATGGGCCGAATGTTCCATTTTATTATTATTATTATTATTATTTTAATGGTGGTATGCCCGGCTACTATATTAATTGCCCAAATTTCTTTTTGCCTGTCTGTTATATCTTATATCCATTGCTCATTCATTAAAACTCTAAAGAAGGTCGAAATTAATTCAAAAAAAAAAAAAGTTAAATTTTATAACCATTAATTAAAAAACAAAGTGATATCAATTTATGGTCAAATCAATACCTAATAGCAAAATATGTAAATATCAATAACATAGTTGGAATCATTAATCACTTGTTGCTGAGTCGAAGTTAAGTGATGTGTACGGACCAAACAGGCCAAACATCGATGGCTGCAGATTATTTAATAGGCTACCAAAAGGTCCATAAGGAGGTTGTTGCTGTTGTGGGCTGCCAAGTGTAGGACGATATCCGCCGAATGGTGTGAACATGAATTGAGGAGAAGACACCCTTTGGTTCTCCAAGATATCTTTCACAGTGCCTTCAAATCATTTATGAACTCCATCATTTCATCACATTTTTGTTCAGCTCTATTAGCCTTCCTCCTTTCAGCCTCCAACTCTATCTCCCACTCTACATTTGTCTTCCTCATACGACTTGAGGATGCTGCTGGAGCCTTCTTTCCATAACCGAAGCCATGAAACTATGTATTATTTCCTATTCCAAGACAGTTCTCCAAAATATGCTCATCCTCCGGGACAGAACTGCTAGTAGCCACATAAACAGATGGATCTAATGATTGGGCCACGGATCTAATGATTGGGCCACCATTTTGTCTTGCATTTTGTAAAATCAACGAAGTAAATTAAATGAAGAACAATTATCAGCCATCTCTGTACACATCATACTACAATTAACAAAACACTTTACTTTAAATTTCACCACTCATCCATCAACACATCATACTTTTACTAAAATCGAGATACTAGAACTATTAACATAAATAGTTCTAGCATCTCGATTTTGGTAAAAGTATGATGTGTAGGTGGATGAGTGGTTGACCTAGTGATATTAATATCATAGGGACCAAATGGATCTTTAAAAATTAACTTGATGAATATAGTCTTGTGATGAGAAATAAAGTTAGGTTGGTTAGACAAGGATATACTCAAGTTGAAGGAATTGATTTTGATGAGACTTTTGCACTTGTTGCTAGACTTGAGTCTATTCGACTTCTTTTGCTTTTACATGTCACTTTAAATTCAAATTGTTTCAAATGGATGTAAAAAGTGTTTTTCTTAATGCTATTTTGCAGGAAGAAGTTTATGTAGCATAACCAAACGGTTTTTTTTATCCACATAATCCTGATTATGTTTTTCATCTTAAAAATACTCTTTATGGGTTAAAGCAAGCACTTAGAGCATGGTATAAGAAGTTAACTTCTTATCTAATGCAGAAGGGCTTCGGAAGAGGAGGAGAAGATAAAACATTTTTTATTTTCAGGAAAAGAAAAGATTTTCTTGTTGCTAAAATCTACGTGGATGATATTATTTTTGGTGCTACTTATGATAACCTTATTCATGATTTTACTAAAAATATGGGTAATACTTTTGAAATGAGCATAGTTGGTGAACTGAGTTTCTTCCTAGTTCTTCAAGTGAAACAATTTGATGATGGGATTTTCATATCTCAATCAAAATATGCAAATGAGCTAGTCAAGAAATTTGGTTTGAAAGATTCAAAGCATATGCAAACTTTTATAAGTACTTCATCCAAATTGGATAGAGATTCTGATCCTAACAAGGTTGATCCTTCTTTGTATAGGAGTCTTATTGGTAGCTTGTTATATTTGGCAACAAGTAGGCCATATATTTCATTTAGCATAGGTGTTTGTGGTAGGTATCAAGCTAATCCTATAGAACAACACGTTCTTGCAGTGAAGTGCATTATTCGTTATGTTAGTAGTACATTGAATTATGGATTGCATTATTCTTCTATATCTAACTCTAAGATTGTAGGCTATACTGATGTTGATTGGGTTGGTAACAAGGATGATAGAAAGAATACTTTAGGTGATTGTTTCTATGTTGGTACTAATATTGTTTCATAGTATAGCAAGAAGCAAAATTGCATATCATTATCATCTTGTGAGGCGGAATACATTGTTGCTGGAAGTTGTTGCACATAATTGCTTTGGATGAAATAGATGCTTCTGGATTATGGAATTGATCAAGGTACTATTGCTATCTTTTTTGATAATACTAATACAATTAATTTTTCAAAGAATCTAGTTTTGCATTCTAGGACTAAGCACATTGACATTCGACATCACTTTCTTAGGGAACTTGTTGAACAAAATGTTGTGTCTTTGGAAAAAGTGCATACTGATTATAATTTGGTTGATATTCTCACTAAGCCATTAGATACTCTTAAGTTTTCTCATCTTAGGAAATCTATAGGCTTTTGTTGCCCTAATTATATGCATTGCAAAGGCATAATTTAGAAAGGTTTTTCATGCATATCTTGAGCGTCTAGATTATGTTTTTGGGAAGTTAAGCAAACCATATTAATTGATTAAATATGTTGAACAAAAGGAGTTTTATGACACATGGATTATCTGTATAAAATATACTATGGCTATGAATTAATGAAATTGATTTTGCTTACTTGTTTCGTATAGTAAATGGATTATTGATAGTACATTTACTTACTTTTTATGTCATTGTTATGGTCAAAGATGATGTTGACATGATTAATTATTGTCGTAGAATTTAAACTTGATTTTATGTGGTTTGGACCAAAAGAGTGAAATAAAAAAAATGAAAAATAGTTTGGAATGAAAAATTCTGAAAAAAAAAATATGAAAATAATTGCTGTTAAAAAAAAATTTGTAAGAGTTGGAAAATGCTATCTTTGGGATTTGTCTGAAACTACCTTGACTTGAACAAATGGGAATAAGAGAAAGAACTGGTTGCCCAAAATAGTGAAAGCCGTCAATGTGCAAAAAGAAAAAATAGAGCATAAAGAGAGAAAAAAAAATGTATTTTGCACATGTTGATTATTTGATTTCTAAGGATATGTGATATCATTGATTTATTATCTGAAATCTAAACAGTTTACAAATCATATGTTTTTGGAACTTGGTGGTAATTTTACTACACTTACTAAGTTTATGAAACTTCATTGAATTGATCTTGGTAATATGTGTTGATTCATATTGTCTTGTGGAGTCTATTATTCTCATTGAATTCAATTTACAGATTCTATATGGTTGGTTGCTTCTTACTTCTAGGATATTTCTTCCTTTAGACCTTTATTAATTTGTGACAAAAAGGGGGAGAGAGGTGAGATTGATATTATTCAGGGGAGGGGGGGGGGGGGGGAGATGTTAGAAAATTCTAACATAAATAGAAACATGGTTCGAATGCATAAATTTGATAAAGAAGACATACCCAATATGAAAATATATTAAAGGGAATTATAGCGGAAACCTTATTTATATCATATGGGAGACAACCTTCAACCCTCTTATCTTTCATTGCATACAGGATGATGGACTCCAGACTTCTATGCATATATATAGATGAGGGTTGGGATCGTTCAAGTAAATGTTAAGAGGTGTGTTGGTTCCATCAACCAACACAACTCTTTATATGTGACTCTTCAACAAAACAACACAACTCTTAAATATATAGGTGACTATTCATTCAAATATATGGATAACTAAATATTAATTAATTATTGTTAGACTATTAATATTTTGCTTACATTCTCCTACTTAGTCTAACGATAATTAATTCTGATCATATCAAGATCAAAATGATCATTGAGTGTACTCCAAAAGTTAATCCATATATATAAGAAACACATCTTTCATCAATTGGGAGTACCTTTGAGTCTACTAATATGGGATCAAAGGCATCATTATATCATCAATGATATAAGACATCAATGGTCACTGATACTATCAAACTCAACTCCAACGTCACATATATTTTGCATGTGCATCTATTCAATACAATATTCATGCCATGCATCGGCCCTACCGTGTCTCAATAAGAACACACCGTGTCTCAAAACTGGACACTTCACAAATTTTCCATACACATGTGCACTAATATAAAAAATCTAGTAAATAAGGATAATAACTGTGATCACAAAATAAAATTGTCTTTACCTGAGCCAATTATAACCTCCCGCTAACTAAGTAAATTAATGTTGTCAAAGAGAAATTTGCATGCTTACTATACAACATTAGCGGCAAACCTTTAGTTATGGGATCAACAATCTTTTGTTGGGTATCAATGTGCTCAATCAGACACTAGCTGGTTCTGTATCCTCTATTTCACAGCAAGGTATTAACGGTCATATTTTAGACCAACTTGACTCTTGTTGTTTCTTTAATACAAGACTGTAGCAGTATTGACTTGAAGTCCAAAATTGATATTTTATAAAGCATGAAATGTGACTTTATAACATGCACATAAACTTTGCTTCTATCACTTATCATAATAGTAAAACAATACTTGAAGTGGATTTGTATACTATCTTGACAACCAATAAAGTCAGTTTTCACCACTCCTAGAAAGATATGGTTCTTAATTATTTGCAGGTAACTTATAAATTTCTTTGCCGCATACTATAGATCCAAACCAGGATCACTATGATATCTGCTTAACTAGCTAATGCTATATTATAGTTAACCATATGCAAAACTTGAGCATAGATTAGGTTCCCAAAGGCGTAAAAAATGCCTTTTACGTAGTACTACTATAGATATTTTCTTGGTAATTAAATTACCAAATTTCTCAACTTTTACAATGGGTGCAATTCTACCTCTATAGTATTATATGTCAAATACTTTCAAAAATTTATCTAGTTAGGTTCTTTGTGGCAATCCAAGAATTTCACAAGATTAATTGATTTAGGTGAAACTTAATGCCAATAAAAAGGCGTCACCAACACCTTCATCTCAAATGTTTGAGAAGTTAAATTGTTTAATCTCATGTACAATAATGTCACTGTCATCCACATTTTACACTAAAGATGAATTTTACTCCCACTAACTTTGAGAATAACTAAGGCCACACATTTATAGTTTAATTGATGGGAAGGTCAACTAAACTTTCCAGAGTTAATTAAATAATGCCTCAAAATAATTAACTCTGAATGAGATCAACATAACATATAATTATCTTTCCTTTGGGCCAAAATTATCATATATTAGTCTCCCACTGGTGAAATAACTTTCACCTTTGAAGCTAATTAATCATAGAAAACACAATAATAACTTATACTCCTTTGGGCATAGTGAGTCATCAGTTATGTCTTTTACACTAATTACCTCAATCCGCTTAGTTGGACAAACTCAATGACCCACCTTTGGGCTTGATCATTGCTCGTCTTTACGAAACGCCAACACAATCCTTTAACTTTAACAAAATAATAATTTTGCCACTAGTTACAAATATCATTAAAATTTTCATGAGTGGGTCACTTTGGTGACTAAACACTCAATCAAATTAAATGACACTTATGCTTAGAATTGCAAAATATAATTCAATTTTCCCGAATGAATCAATACATATACATATACATATTATGCAACAATTTATAACATGAGACACATGCGTAATTATGTATATAATTTTAATAACATGTATAATTTCATAAACTTATATGCTATAAAACTTTAAATTAATCATTGATTATGCCTTGTATATCATCAAATATATAAAACATTCAACTAGTGATGATAACTTAAGAAAAATGACATATTTATGAAAATTAATATTTAAGGGACAAAATAAGATCCAAAATTTTTAAAATTTATACATGTTATAAATATTAAATTAGCGACCCTTATTGATAGAGTAAGTAGGAGTGCATGCAACACATGACTCTCTGAATGGAGAGACATGACTATTGGTTTAAATTCAAAAGACATGCCTATTGGTTTAATCCCAAAAGACATGACCATTGATTGCAACTCAAAAGACATGATATACATACATGTATATATATAACGAATCAACGTTAGTAACCCAAACTAAAACATGTAATGGTACGTTAAAACATATAACAATTGAGTTTATAACACGACAATTGAGTTTATAGCAAAACATCTCTAAAATACCATGCGCATAACTCTTGGTGCATAGATCACAAAGGCTATGTACCGGTGCATGCAACATGCATGACTCTGTAGGTACAGAGACATGTCTGTTGGTTCAAACCAAAAAGATATGTCTATTGGTTGAAACTCAAAAAGACATGACTATTAATTTGAACATCAAAAGTTATAAATTTTTGAGATCATTTGTAACCCAAACAAAAATATGCCTACAACCGTCCCCATGATAAGCGCCGAATATTGCATATTCAAGCGCCCTTAATTGCATTATTTAAGTCCCTTATTTGTTTAATTATGTAGATTACCTTCATATGCACGTTTTTGCATATTTTCAGGTTCATTGGCCAAAAAGAAGCAAGAAGGATGCTTTGTGGAGTTTTGAGCATCAAAGGTCACAATGCTGAATTTCTGGCAGCAGTGGAACCTGGACTTTGCTCGCCATTTTAACCTTGAAAAATTGGGAACTGGACTTCCCTCATAACATGAAAGATTTAGATCTCTGAATCAGCTTTCCAAATCTTCAAACGGTTTGTCATTCGGAGCTTGGAGCAGAGAGTTATGGCCTTGTTACCAGAGGTGCACAGAACTGCCTGGCAGCAATGCAATTCTGCCTTGATCTTCATTTTTGACCAACCATCCTTGAGAATTGGATCTCGACCAAAACATCAAGTATTTAAAGCTCTGAATTAGCTCTCCAAATCTTCAAACATTTTGTCATTCGGAGTTCAGAGCGCAAAGTTATGGCCATTTCATCAAAGTAGGTCCGGGCGGAGCAAGGCAAGAATGGAGCATTCTGCTCCAATTTCGAGTGCTCGAGCCCTTATTTCGAGTGCTCGAAATTAGGGCAGAATTGCACTCGGGAATGGCCCATTTTTAGACACTTGCATCTTGGGTTCCTCAATTCTAATTTCCCTCTTTAATGGTTGGTTGGAGATGTTGGTTGGTGGGGGTTTTTAGAGCCTTATCTATACAAGAGA